TCCCGTGATCCTGAGAAGTACCTGAAACACATACACATAACACGGTAAGCACGAAGCTTAGTGAGTTCCCCAAAATACCACACACAGCTCATTAGCCACTCTAGGCTATAACTCAATAAGATCCACCGGTTAATGTGTCTTAGTGGGACCCTCCGGTCCCAACTCAGTAAGCTCATAATAACAATACTCAGCATAAATCACAAAGACGTAATGCAGAATATTAAGATACACAGGCAAGCACAATAAACATCTCAATCACACGAAGGTACCACTCATAGTAAGTATAGTGAGAAGACTCACCTCGCAAGAAATCGGCTAATCTCGAACTCAAATCACCGGTCTAGCCTCCGCTTAACACATACGACAATCATCCCTAATTAATCACGACTCTCTCTCAATAAGCCAAACTAACCCTTCTACAAACTCACAGAAGGGTAAAAGACCATTTTACTCCTCAATGGCCTTAATAGTCCACAAATTGACCAAACCCTAAAAGTCAACCAAAAGTCAACGACAGAAAGTACGCTGCGCGTACCAGCTCTCTACGTTGGGCGTACTCAGCTGCCATGCAAGCATCAGGGATGCGCGACCCCTATGTTGCGCGTACTGGGATTACGCCCAGCGTATGCCCCATTTTCACTCTTCTCACTCATTTGGTCTTAATCAGTTAAGACCTTGGCTCAAATCACAAATCTGGACTCCCTAACAGCTCTTACTCCATAAAGTCAGTGACTTTAAGCCTTTGCATGGCTGGAATGGTCACAAGCACATAAAAAACTCACTCTCTTATGCCAAAAAGCCCATATCTCATGCATGGCTTGATTCCAACGTCCAAGATTGGATTTTTATGACACTACACCACTGAATACACTCAAATGGGGGTTTATCATAGTCTCTGGAGTACAATATCTCATAAAGTCTCCAACTTTTGGGACAAAACCCTAAAATACTCTACTATGATGCACAAATCAAAAGAGTGAGAAAGCTTTGAGTTTTATACCTCAAAATGAAGCTCCACTGTAACGCCCCATTTCTGTTATGTGATTTAATTAAAGTAATTTTCATTTCTTAAAGGGGTACTCGACGAGTCTGTAGCCCGACTCGTCGAGTAGAGACGGGATTTGCACGCGGGTTAAGTTGGCAACTCGACGAGTCCATATCCTCGGACTCGGCGAGTATGCCTGTCTGGATGAAGCCCTAATTTCAAGGGTTTGTACCCTATTTAAACGTCATTATAGCCTCCCACCCCAGCCTCCAGCACCTTTAGAGTATTTCCCCTGTAAACCCTAGCCCCCATTGTTGAGCTTGAGTGTGTTTGTGCTAGTTTGGAAGCTTTGTAAGAGAAGGAAGGAAAGAAGGTCCATAGAAGAGAAAGGAGATCCAAGAGTTAGCTTCCATCTGTTTCTCATTCAGGTAATAAAGTTATTACCTTGTGTATTCCTCCATTAAACCCTCTTTTATGCTTGTTATGTCTCTTTTGGAGCCTTATATGATTCAAAACTTGAGATATGGACTCTCCTTTGGATGGAAACCTTAGATCTGGACGTTATTGAACTCTAGGAGCTCATTATAGCCACCTTTATGCAATCATGGCCTTGTTCCAAACCCTAAGTGCTTAGTATTTGATGATTTTGGGTATTTTAGCCTTATACTCTTGTGCATGCACGTAAAGTTGGAAACTTTACATGTAAAACCAGTCCTAGAAGCTCAGATCTATGATTTGGAAGCACTGAAATCGATTAGAATCGACTGTATAGTAATAGCATGCTTGGGACTCGGCGAGTTGTTCTTCAACTCGACGAGTTGTTCTTCAGACTCGAACAGTTGTTCATACGACTCGGCGAGCCACAGACTGGACGTGTTCATATGATGAAGGAGAACTCGACGAGTTGTTCATACAACTCGGCGAGTCGGATGAAGTTAGACTCGATGTTAGTATCAAAGAAGAACTCGTCGAGTCCTTGCCAAACTCGACGAGTAGAAGCGAGTAGAGGACTAGAATGGATGATAGGGACTCGGCGAGTTGGCGGCCCAACTCGGCAAGTCCGGTCAACTGGAAGTTGACTTTGACCAGGAAGTTGACTTGACCAGGGGTAAATAGTTATTTTACCCTGAGATTAGTAATCAGTATTTGATTTAGTGTTTATGGGATTTGTAGCCGGGGAGTTCCGGAGCAGCAGTCAGGCAGTTTCAGATTTAGCATCTCGGCAGCCAGCGTTACGAGGTGAGTTTCCTTCCAGTAGGAACGGGTCTACGGCCACAATGTCGGCCCGTTTAGTTAGCAGTAGTTCCGGACTTCGGTCCGATGTAGTAGTTCAGTGTGCTTGATGTCTCTGTGATTCAAGCATGTCTTTGTGTTATGTGTTCCGGACTTCGGTCCGATGCAGTATGCAGTATATGTGTTTATGCTAGTAGTTATGATTATGCTATGCTATGTTCAGTCAGTTTCCGGACTTCGGTCTGATGCAGTTTCTGGACTTCGGTCTGATGCAGAGGGCAAGGCCCTGGTTAGTTCCGGACTTCGGTCCGATGCAGTTTTCGGACTTCGGTCCGATGCAGAGGGCAAGGCCCTGGTTAGTTCCGGACTTCGGTCCGATGCAATTTCCGGACTTCGGTCTGATGCAGAGGGCGATGCCCTGGTTAGTTCTGGACTTCAGTCCGATGCAGTTTCCGGACTTCAGTCCGATGCAGTTTCCGGACTTCAGTCCGATGCAGTTTCCGGACTTCAGTCCGATGCAGTGGGCAAGGCCCAGTAGTTGTTTTATATGTTATTGTATGGTATGTGGTAGTTTGGGGGAGCTCACTAAGCTTTGTGCTTACAGTTTCAGTTTTTGGTTTCAGGTACTTCCGCTAGTAAGGGGAAGAGCTCGGGATGATGGCATGGCACACACCACAACTTCAGTTTATCCTGGGAGTTTTATTCAGATACTTTGATATGTTTTGACATCAGTTGATTTGATAAACTTATTATGACATTTTGAGACACATGATCCATAGATTTATCTTTTAATATTTTATATGATGATTTAGTAAAGTTTTCAAACGAAAATTTTTGGGTTGTATTTTTGGGATGTTACATCCACACTCAGATAAGCTCAGATCCAAGGCCTGGAATCCCACTCCTTCTTCTTCAAGGCTCCTTGTTCGCTCCAAAGAAACACAAGAATACTCTCAAGGCTCTCAAATGCACTCACAAGCTCTAAGAACGAAAATTAGGGTTTAGGAGGGTTGTTGTCTGAGAATGGTGGCCATAAATGAGGCCATCATATCCTTTAAATAGGGGTCTCACCCTAAATTAGGGTTTTCACTTTGGGCCTAGTACGCCCAACGTACTAGGTGGCTTCCGCGTCAAATGCACGCATATGAGTATGCTGAGCGTACACTCACGTACACCTCGCGTACTCATTCACTGCATTTTCTCAATAAAGGGCTAAAATGGACAAGTGCTCAAAAGATCAAGGGTTACATGGTATACCTGAACTCGGGATGTTACACAATGCTCATTAAATTGTTCAATAGGAAAGTAAACTTTTTTAATATCAAATGATTAACAAATAAATGACTTTTTTTATTTAAATATGTTTCATTGAAACTTTATAGAGTTTATTGTGTTATATGAAAATAAATTATAAAATTATATGAAAAATAGATTGGTGACATGTCATTCCAATAAATCTAGATTTCAAAATATATTATGGATGTCTAAAACTTTATAGAGAGATTTCAATGTCATTGAGTAAGAAATATGATGTGCATACGTTAACTCTTAGACCATTTACATCTGTTCGTGCACATGGCTTTCAACTTGCCACATAGATATATTAATGTTCCACGTAAGCTCACTTCTTGCAAACTGTGAAAGGCGTGCAACATGATTTGTGGGTCCATCAACCACTAACTTCATCTTTTATCAATGTTTAAAAACCAATCAAATATTGTGTCATTACTTTCTCTTCTTAAAAATAATGAATATGCTAAATGGCCCACCATTTGCAAGGAGTTAGATATTGCAACTGTGTGGATGTTCTTAGTCAGTGGCGAGGCTATAGTGTGCCTAGACCTAAATTTAATTTTTTTTACAATAAGTTATATATAAAATATATTTAGGACCTACCTTAAATATTTTGTATGACCTACCTAAATGTGTTTGGTAAAAAAAAGGAAGAAAAAAATATATAAACTATACACGATATAAGAAATATCATATTCAGTGGCATGAAAAAATCTCAAGTCGACTCCAAGAACAAAGTAGTGAACATGTTTTCTTTATGAATAAATTGTTTTCTCTTTTACATTTCCACACCAAAAACTTGTTTAGGCATGTTTTTGACTTATTTACTCCAAGTATAAGTTTGTTTTAGTTAAAAAAATAAAATAAAAGAAAGACCGATTTGGGCTTGGTCCTTTCAACACCAATTTTTATATATGTTAAACTAGTTATTTTCTGGTTGAACCGACATGATTGAACCTAATTTTCTTTTTGAATCAACATGATTGAACTCCGTTCGGGAACCACGTGGTTTTCTATTCTAGACTCGCCACTATTCTTAGTAAAAATCCATGTATTTCTTTAAGGAAATCCAAGATATAAAATATTGTATCTTTATTAAAGACACGTTGAATTTGGATTTTTTTTTTTTGTAGTATAAAACTATAAATATATACCAATATTGGAACTTTGGAAGTAAAGTGACTAAACATGTGTATTGGAATATACTCTAGGGTCTCTTTTTTTTGTAGTATAAATATACACCAACGGCTTTAACGACTTTTGTGTCTTCTTGGATTAACAGCCCCTAAGATGACCACACCCTGCCCACAATCCATATCCAGTTTTAGGCAACAACGTTTCCAACTATCGGAAACCATAATCATGAACATAACCCCAAATCCCCAACCCCGACCCCACCCTCATGATCTACCCCTTCTCCCGCATTTTCTTCATCATCACCAAAACAAAAACAAAACGTATGTAACATCTTCACAAACACCCTCCAATCATGGTGGCTTTCGCTTCCATTGCTTGTCTCAACGGCAACAATGGCGGCGTCAAAAGATCACCCAACGAACAACCCGCAAATATCCCCCTTGGAATCCTCGTATTCGAGGCTGCCAAGACCGTATCCCGCCTTCTTTCACTCTACAGATCTCTATCCGATCCTGAAATCTTGAACCTCAGGAAAGAAATCTTTAAATCTAAAGGCGTTGTTTATCTCAATTCTGATGACGAAGGGTATCTCCTAAACCTGGCGTGTGCGGAAAAGATCGAAGATCTTGACAAAGCTGCAATCGTAGTTGCAAGGCTTGGCCGGAAATGTTCGGATTTGACGTTGAGTTCCTTCGATAGGGTTTACACTGATATTAAATCAGGAACGACGGATTTACGGAAATTTGAGTATGGGACAAGTAAAACAAAGAAGAAAATTCGTAAGTTGAAGAGATTCTTGTCGGCGACGTTGGGTTTGTATGGTTCGATGCATTGTTCTCCGGGATTGGAAGCGCCGGAGAAGAAAATGAATTCTCCGGTGCCGTTCAAAAACATGATGAAGTTCCCGGCCATTGAATGGAGAATACCGCATGCGCAGCCCTGGAAACAACATGTTCATCACACAAAACCGAATTTATGGACCCTGCCTTTCGAAAAAGTAGTTAGGCTGACGTCAAGAGTTGTATGCATAATTTATGCCAGGATTTGCATGGTGTTTGGACCATACGTGTCTGATTTACCAACGGCATACACCGGCAGACAAAAACACGTTACTGCACAAATCCCATCTGAAATCTGGTTTATCGAGCCCAGAACGCCTGACAACAAATCTCCTCGGCCAAGACTCTGGATTGTTCATCATCATGAACCAAAATCTCCTCGGTCAAAACTCGTGAAATCCAAATCCAAAAAAAACTTGACTCGGATAAACCCAAACCCCGATAGGTCGATTCCGACTGAGGAAGCCAAAACCGATCAGGTATTCCACGACGCCGGTCCCAATACTGTTGGCGGGTCCCGTCTTCAGATTCTTTACGCCAACCTCATCATGATGGCGGAGGAAAACATGGTGAGAAAAACCATAAAAGATGATGTGCGGGATGAGATGTATCGAATGTTGCCAAAAAATATGAGAGCGATGGTTAAGGTGAAGATCAGGAGGCTCAGGGATTGCAAGGGCAACAATGGTGGGAAGCAGAAGATGAAGGAAGCGTTGAGGAGTATATTCATGTGGCTTTCACCCATGGCGCACAACACCTTGTTGTGGGCACGGGAGAGGAGAGTGGAGATGACTCGTTTTGACGCCAGGCCTCCTGTGCTGTTATTGCAGACATTGCATTTCTCAGACAAGGAGAAGACGGAAGCTGCCATTGTTGAGGTATTAGTGGGTTTAAGTTTTATATACATGCAACAGAAGAGTCGCCGGATGCCTGCAGCTTGATGGCGGCGGATGATGGTGGACATGTCTGAAGTTTTGAACATGAAAAAAAAACTTGTACATGATATATTCAAATGAATAATAATTTTTTTTCCTTGGAACTGGAGACAATTATTTAAAACACCACTAGTAAAATGCAAGAGAAAACAAAGACTGGGACTACAACAAAGATGAGCAAATGACTATAGAGCAACAACACGATACCAATTAAGACCACCTGATGCAACATAGGATTAATTAAATAATAAGTGTTTGAATTGACCTTTTAGAAAAGTTTGGTTGTATAGAAAAAAAAAACTTTTCAAAAATTTATTGTAACAGTAAAAAAAATTTAGAAAAAAACTGTCATCGAAGATAATATTTGATTGTCATTATACTATTGATTGATAGTGCTTATGATGATGCCCCCTTACCCTTCCCCATAATGTTGTTTTATTAGTATGGATTATGTACATGTTATTATGAATATTTAATCAATTTTTAAAAATCTTATTAATATGATTTTTATGTCGTTTTGTAAATATGGAGTCCTTTGGAGTTAGGCAAAGCCGTTGGCTATTTTACTTATCAAAACTTTGAAACCGCAAACATTTATAGTTGTGTTCAAAGCGGCTATATACATACGTATACTTGTCGTAACTTCCTAAGATATTAATAAATAAACTTGGTTTTCACTTTTCAGTAGTGATGTCGTTTGGATCCATTGAAAGTCTTGGGTTTCGTATGGCGGGCTAAACAAAACAAGATAGCTTCGTCTGGAGCTCTCCGGAATAGGGGTATTGAAATGACCTCGTCCCTGTGTGGAGTCTGTCAAGAGTCAGAAGAGACAGGAGATCATATCCTGGTCTCGTGTCCACTAGCAAAAGGTATATTACACTCGATTCTTAATTGGTGTAACGTTCAAGTGACAGGGTTCCATACGGTCACTAACATGATTGACTTCACCTCCAAATGGGGGAATTGTCCCAAAAAAAGAAAAACATTAATCACGATCTTGTTCGGTGCATTGTGGTGTTTATGGAGGGCCAGAAATGATAGAATCTTCAACAAAAATGAATGGCAACCGGCGAGAATAGTTTCTACTATAAAGGCCCAAACTTTTGTATGGGTAAAACAATCGTGGTGACAGGGCAAAGTTAGAATGGAGTTTGTGGAATAAAAATCCTCTCATTTGTATCTGAATCAATGTAACAATTTTCACCTCGCTAGCCACTTGCTGCTGGGGTAAAGTAATGAATAAAATATATTTCCGCCGGTTCAAAAAAAAAAAAAAAGATAAATATGTGTAATAAACATCCAATAGCATGCATGGTTGTGAGTTGTGACTTTCTAATTTCTAATATGCATATATTGTGGATGTGATGAATCGGTATTCATCTTGTTTCCCAAATTACCTAGTACTTGGTAAAATGCTGATAATGTTTAGTTTAAAAGGAGTAGTCATATTCAAGTGTTATAATTGCATATAATAAAAGAAATCATCGTCAGACATGCATGTACAAGGGAATTAATAAATGGTTTCCAATTAAGGGACGTAAGTAATTCATTTATAGAAACAGACACAGTAGTATCGAAACAAAAACAACAATCAAGTGCAAATGCAAATGTAAATGTAAATGCAGATTGTATTACTATTTCAACTACCAAAAAACTGAAAAAAATTTGTAGAACAATATGTAAGAAGAAATGGACAGCAGCATTTTCCTCTCACTAAACAGACAGAGTACTCAATTCAGTAGTACCACCTTTTATTATTATTTTCCTGTGTCATCAATCCTCCTCCTCCTCATGTTTAGAAACATTTCCTGTGCACAATGGATGGGCCCGACTCATCGTATTCAGCCTTAGCAATCCACATCTGTATTCACAATTGATAATTATTATAAATTATTTATTTATGTCAAAGTCAAAGTCAACGTGTGAGTAAAAAATTTACCTGCTGGAAGGTGCTAAGAGAAGCCAAGATGGAGCCACCAATCCAGACACTGTACTTCCTTTCAGGTGGGGCGACGACTTTGATCTTCATGCTGCTGGGGGCTAAAGCAGTAATTTCCTTGCTCATTCTATCAGCAATACCAGGGAACATAGTGGTTCCACCACTGAGAACAATGTTACCATACAAATCCTTCCTAATATCCACATCACACTTCATGATAGAATTATAAGTGGTCTCATGGATCCCAGCAGCTTCCATTCCGATCATGGATGGTTGGAACAGAACCTCCGGGCACCTGAAACGCTCAGCACCAATGGTAATCACCTGCCCGTCGGGCAGCTCAAAGCTCTTCTCCACAGCAGAGCTAGTCTTGGATGTTTCCAGTTCCTGCTCAAAATCAAGCGCAATATACGCCAACTTCTCTTTCATGTCCCTCACAATTTCTCTCTCAGCACTAGTGGTGAAGGAATAACCTCTCTCAGTCAGAATCTTCATCAGTGCATCCGTCAGATCACGCCCAGCAAGATCCAAACGCAATATAGCATGCGGGAGTGCATATCCTTCATAAATCGGCACAGTATGACTCACACCATCTCCAGAATCCAGAACAATACCTACAAATTAATTGCAAAACCAACCACTCCCACTCAGTAACCAATTAATTATGTAATTATGTAATTAAGGGAACTTACTTACCTGTGGTACGACCACTGGCATAAAGTGAAAGGACAGCCTGAATTGCAACATACATAGCAGGGGCATTGAAGGTTTCAAACATGATTTGGGTCATTTTTTCACGATTGGCTTTTGGGTTGAGAGGTGCTTCCGTGAGAAGAACCGGATGTTCCTCGGGGGCCACACGGAGTTCGTTGTAGAAAGTGTGATGCCAGATTTTCTCCATGTCATCCCAGTTGTTGACAATACCGTGTTCGATTGGGTATTTTAGAGTTAAAATACCCCTTTTCGATTGAGCCTCGTCACCTACGTATGCGTCCTTTTGTCCCATACCAACCATCACTCCAGTGTGACGTGGGCGTCCAACAATGCTAGGGAAAACAGCTCTTGGTGCATCATCTCCAGCGAATCCAGCCTAAATAAGAGTAAACACACACAAATAGCAACCTACTTCTACTCCAAAAAATATACATCAACTTAACAATTTCCTTTCGGATGTTTTGACTTTTGAATGAAAGCAACATTTCTATTTGGGCTACATGCAAGAAACACCAACTTACTTTCATTTATATGTTTATTATATATAGCAGTGTACTTTCAACTTTATTCTAATTAAGGCATTGGACTTTAAAAAATATATACAGTTACATAAGTAGATAATTGGATTAAAGGGTAGCCAGTAAACCCAATTTTTACTTTGCAGACATAGACACCAAATCACAATTATGTGGACTATTTCTGCCATGTCAGCTCAGCCCATTGTTGGCTTATTTGCCTAAGAAGTTTAAGAAAAAAATTTATAAATGGAAAACAATTTGGATAGAAAATTTAAGCCTCAAAGTGTATTATATAAGCAAAAACAATATGTGTGCAAGTATTCCATCCTATGTGGACTGTCAGTAGGTATTCCACATGGACATCCTATTTGGAAGGTGACGTGGAATAAAAACTTATTAACATGGGCCATGTTATTAGATTTCAAATTACCAAGTTACCCGTTACAAGGCCTTAATATGAACAATTTTGGAATTATATAAGAGGAAAAATGAAACTACATTGTTATTTCTTGCATTTAGCGTTTCCATTTGTGAAAAATTAGATTTGACCAAATGTCCATTAGTAACCAATACAAAGCATTGTAGCATGTTGGCCTGTGTTTTGTAATTTTTTGTGATACTTTAGATATTCTATGAATGGCCAACATTGTTATTAAACCATATATAGGATAAAATGCTGCATTTATTTTGAGGGGGGGATTATGAAATAAGAATTCAGTCCCCAAAATAAGCATACAAGAAGCCATTGATCTCAAAAGAGTATGAGAGTAAAGTAGTTTTAGCTACAAAACTACAATACCACATTCAAACTGATACCTTAACCATTCCAGTTCCATTGTCGCAGACAAGTGGCTGAATATCCTCTCCATCTGCCATCTTAACTCAAAGCCTGTACGATAATAGGAAAGATGAAATGTAGATTCAGGCCAAGAATCATCAAAAGACATGGAAAGTAGTTTTTTATGATGTCAAATGTCGAAATTTTTCGTCGACAACAAGATATCTGGGAAGAACATAGAAAATCCAACACGAATACATCAAAGATAATTTACAAAACGATTCATCATTGTCAAGAATCGGCCAAACATAGCAACTTGATCTCGTATTGTAACATTTACGATTTCTGTTTTCTATTCACATGATCTGTAATGTATAAAGAGTTGTGATTAACAAAACGAAACAGTGTTTTGCAAAGATTTTTTTTGAAAATATCAAGATCAAGTGTAGAAAATGATTATGGTTTTCTGAAAAAGTAAACGTTTGTCACACACCATGTAGAGTTAAGAAAATCTAAAATGCAACGCTAATTTATGTGTATGTGTGTTGATAATATGCATAAAATACATCAATTAATACATAGATACGTACACGAATATGTTGTATTTATGTGCATGTACAAGTATGTGTGTATACAAAGATAGATGTATAATTGTATATGTAAGCAAATGTATGCCATGTACGTATAATTTGGGGAAAATTGGTACGAAGGGAAACACAACATTCAAATGTGGAACAATTAGATGATATCATTGAGAAGCGAATTTGTGATCGTAAATGTAGAAGATGTTATAGATCTGCAGTACATGAAAACAACCGACGATAAAATAATCGGATCTCAAATCGTTTCCATAATGCAATATCCGATTAATGTAATCAGAAACAAATGCTTGCAGATAATAACGTCAAATCACTATAAGAAACAAACAAAACAGGCATCACGATGATAAAAATGACAGCGGAATGCTGGGATTTAAATGAGGAAAAGAAATCGTCTTCAAACTCAAAATAAACAGATCAGTCGTTAATCGCATCGAATTATATCTCAAATAAGTGCCATGCAGAGAGTCAAAAACGAAAAGATGTTAACAGAAACCGAAATCGAACGCATTTGAGAGTATAATCAACGAAGAAAGATGATAATAATTCGAGAATCGAGAGGATTTACCTATCAAGAATTGCGAAAGTTGATTGATCGTGATCGTGATCGTGATCGTGAGCGAGAGAGAATGGACCTGGCTTTTGGAAAGAAACACTCAGATTTACCTTGGGCGAGTGTGTGTAAATGGGGAAATGGAAGGGTAAAATGTACTTGAAATTCGGGAGATCGCTACACCACCCATTCCATTTTGTTCGAGCTCCCGCAACAAATCAAAAATTCTAAAATTAGTTTGTTTATCAGGGTCAATTCTTTTTGCAATGTTTGCCGAAGCTAGTAATGCCACGTCATATTATTATTTTATATTATGGTTTTATTATATTTATTATATTCATATCTTAAATTAGTTTATCATATGATTTTATCGTTTCATAAAATAAAAACTATGTACTATAAATATTCTCCCAGCTAAATAGTGACATTTGATTGTTAAATTGCGTATTTTAGTTTTGATTTGTAAAGATAGTATAATCATGTACTATAGATCTTCGTTAGTGTAAAATTCTAAAGTTATATATATTAGGTACATGTATATTATGAATAGAAAATATACAAACTAATAGAAATACAAGTATATAAATTGACACATATAATACCAATAAAGTTATGTACTATATGATCTAAAACGAGTAATGGATAAAATAAAACAAAAATTCTACGTTATTAAGTTTAGTACATACGAATTTGCTTTTCAAAAAGTTTTCTTTGTTGCTATGTTGTAGTTGATGGATGTGTTTCTACCAAAATCTTCGCTACCATTTACATTATAATATCTATGGTTAATCGTATAAAGACGTTACATTTCACAATTTATTATTCAGTTTAAACATAAATCTTTTTTTTATTAAAAAAAATCCTTATATTTTTTTATTTGGCTTATTTACCAAGTTTTCCATTAATCTTCTAGTTTACACGGTTTTTTTCGTAAAAAACACTTAATATTTTTTTCAGTAAAAAACTTCATATTTGACAAATTGTTTTGTTTGAATTAACTTTTTCGTTTTTCTCACGATTCTCATGTTTTTTTGTTTTTTTTTTTTTGTGTTTTTTGTTGTCGTTTACGGTGTTTTTGATACTTTTGAACATTAAAACCCGAAAGATTGTTAGTAGTGTATAAATTATAGCATTTTAGCAGTGTATAAAAATATAACAAGCAATAGAAGCTTGAGAATGAACTTTGAAAACAATTCAAATGCAACTCATGATAAGCTTCTCGTTAGGAAAAAAAAACACACACGAGAATTACTCGATGCCCAATTACTAATCAATTTGAGTTGGAATCATCTAATCATCTTGTTTTTGTTGTAATTAATTACCAAATATTATGAGAAATTTATTCTTGTCAAATAGTTTGAGGACTTCAAATAAGAATTTGTGTACTTAAAAAATGTAAGTGGCTGCATGCATACAAAAGTACAAATAATATTCTCCTATATTTGGGCTTTGGCACAAGACTTCTGCCAACTTGAATATTTTATCAAACTTTAAGAAATTCATATTAGCAATCACCAAAATGTACGACGTGTATCCACTCATAATGACCAAATTTTATATAGAAACATAAGTAACACACCAAGTAAGATTGCATTCGTTACATGGAACCAAAAAAAAAGTCATAAAATTGAGCTATTTTCGATATCATAATCATATAATATAACCTCTCAGTAGCCACCAATATAACTTCCTACAACTATCTTGCCTTAAAACGATGACAAATCACATCTTTGTGGGCCCAGAACAGGTCTCAATATTCCGTAACAATACTAGATAATGACGAATAAGTCCCCACGAGAGCACTCATGATACCCACCACAATAATGGAAATACTCAAAGCAATCTGTGTAAACAAGCGTCATATAAAATTCCATCAGGAAAAAAAAAACAAGTTTTCTTGTGCTATTTTTAATAATGAGGATGAAAGGGCATTTACGTCTTTTGCACAAACAACAAATCAAGAACATGTCTATGTCCCAACACTGTTCTACCTTTCTGAGTGGGACAAGAAATTGCAATTTCTGTCTCATTGACATCAGTCTCAGTCCCAGACTCAATCAAACACAGTACAAGGTTATCTGTCTTGTCCTGTCATGTCATGTGTAGTAGCACATGTCACGGTTTTGACCTGCAACTTACCTGTGTAGTTGTTGCCTTATTTCCTTGAATTTTCAGAAACAACAAAGCTGGCATTACAATTGCCTGTGTTGAAAAGCATACAAATTAAAAGTTTTCACTTTCACAAGAATTCAAGAATTACATTAATAGCCATGCAAGAATTATTTAGTTTTGAATGTAAAGGGGTCAAGTAAAGTGGATACTTACCACCATTACACATAGGAGTGATCCCATCAATGCCATCACAGCACCTGCAGTCAAAGTTCAAACATACAAGATTCAGTTCATCACATAACACAAACATCATTTTTTTTAATTCCAACGGAATGAACCATTCCATTCCGTTCCTTCCCGGATTCCATCTTACCAAAGAAAGGAATGAGAACTGCAACACAGACAGTAGAGAGGACTAGTGCTGTTCTGAGAAGAACATAACACCAAGTGCTACTCGAGACTCTTGCAGGTAACAGCTCTTCTATGGCACTAGCCAATGGATTCATAAGCAAAGCATATGTATATAATGTCAAGGAAACAAGTGAAATAAAACGATATAGAAATTAAAAACTAAAAAGGAGGATTATAATTCTATTCCTAGTTGGTTATAATCATTAAAAGGATATTTGGTGAATGGGTTGATGACCTGCAATTTGTTAAACATATATTAATACACATAGCAAATTATTTCATTTTTAGTCCCAAAAAGTTTTCAATTGCAATTTTGTCCTTATTTGAGGTTTTTGGTTCCTTTTCAAAGTAAAATGACTATATTTTTTGGACCAAAATTAGTCATTTCATTTGGGACAGAGACCAAAAATGTTACAAGAACCTCAAATAAGGACCAAATTTGAAAAGAAAAAAAAAAAAAAAAAAAAAAAAAAACTATAATTATGGACCAAAAATGTAATTTATTTACTGTTTATTTTAAATTGACACTTACCACTATCCACAAAGCAAGTTTTGAAACAATCACATTATCTGGCATGTTCAATGTTATTTGAGACAAGGTACTTTCACCAAACATGAGAAACCCCATTATTGCAACAGCCCCATACATAACCCCACTCAATGAAAAACTGAGATACATAAAAAAATAATAATAATAAATAAAGATATTAGCTCATGGAACATTTTACTTTTTTCATATTTATTTAATAATTAAACAAAAGTAAATGTTTGGTACCATACCCTATTACCATGGCCTTGCTAAACTTGGTCTTATCAGACATTGACTGGTATATATTTGGGAACACAGAATGTCCAGAATAGCAAAAGACATAAATGCCCAAAGCAAACGGAACACCATTCCACTTAACTGCGGGCCCACTTTCATGAAACCCAACATTCACTGTCCCCAGGTAAAACACACAAAAGATAACCACAACTGTAGCCAATACCCCAGTAGCTGCAAAAAATTGGCATTTATTCATATAGCTTCATTTTCAACTAGCAGATATATATAATATTGTATAAGATACCTGATAGATATGAAATTACTCGGACATTCTTCAATAAGACAGTAGGTATAAGAATGACAGCAGTGACAATTGCAAACAAGTGCATGGAGTCGAGAGTAAAACCACCCAAATTTAAGGACACTCCAGGGAACAGACTATTAAGATTGTCTCCTTCTAATATAATGAATTCCACACAATATGACTGAAAAAGTTCAAAATGTAAAGCTGTTGAAACAGAAAGGGGGAAAGAAATCATTACAAAGCCATTGAACCAATGCTTCACTTACATAAAGCTCGGTGTACAAGATGATCTGCACCAAACCCATAAGCATCAGAAGGAGTTTTATAAATCATATAGGTCACATTTGTTACACGGGACTAGACAAAACTTTCTAGGATTATTTTCAATGATGATGATGAAAAGGGCATTTTCGTCTTTTGCACAGACAATTCACCTTCTGAGTGGGACGAAAAATTAAAAATTTTGAACCGCTGACATCGGTCTGCGTCTCAGTACCAGTCTAATGCATGTCAAACACAGTACAGCTTGTTCTGTCATGTCATGTGTAGCAGGTGGGGCCACGTCAACTTACAGATATGATGAGGCGCCCATATTTTCCAAATGCAGCTTCTCCAATATCCGGATAACTAAGAATCCCTTCTTTACTCTCAAAGCAATGCCTCATGAGTGAAGCAGTGTAGCAACATATAACACCAAACACAACTAGCATTCCCAATCCTGCCCAACCAGCTTGTGCAATTGTATATGGTGTAGAAAGAAGCCCAACTCCAACCATAACATTCACCGCTATTCCACCATATTATAATAAATATATAGTCATTATAATGATAATTACACTTTCTTTAGTATTTATCATGTGTAAAGATTCATTTTGGAGATTCTCACCATTGAATACAGTCTGAGTAACACTGCATCCATGGCTAATGGGAAGTTCTCCAAGTTGCTCGTGTAAAGAACCCTTTCCTGACCATGTTGATATCTTCCTTGTGATCTTTTCAAGATCCTCTTTGCTATAAAGTTTTTCACATTCGGATAACAACCGAGCTTTTGCTTCAGCATCAAAGTTACTTTCGATACCAATATCATATAATGATGAATATATAGTGGTAGAAGGAGATCTAAGGAGTCCGAAATTTGGTGTTGCTGTGATTGAATATGAATCAATTGTCTGCCTGCAATCAAGAAAATAGCATTATAATTGCGTATTGGACTTTAATTGGGTAGCTAAATAGGTGCTCTCCTCCCAATTAAAAAAAGATGAACAAACTTCTAGGTTGACTTTAAAGTCGAATAAACTATTCAGCTCTAAAATCGGTATCATTTCTCAGCATTATTAAGCAACTTCATAACAAAGATTACAATTTTGACAAAATCAATATAACTTTTGAATTTAAAAGGTATACCTTTGACCACAAAAGTCAAGGTGTGTGTATATGTTCATAGCAAGAAAGCATCTTATATATAAAGTTCCGAACTTTTTGCCATATTTTATAGAACAATATCAAGATTGACCCACATCATAAGAGCATGACACCATGGGACCTTCTGCCAGAATAGATCTTAACTGATAATATATGATAATTATGACAGGTTTCATTATACGCCTAAACAAATCGGACGATTGTTTCCCTGATTCAATAGAAATCAAGTGGAAAACCAAGATTTCTAGCCTTCTTCAAGATTAATAATAGTAACACAGAGAAACAGATCTGTTTCCATAGCAACAGATGACAAATCCATAGCACTGCTATAGTAGCTTGTACTGCATGATGTAAAGGCTGTACGTTGCTATACTCGGTGGACAAGACTAGCTAGCTTAAGACAAGGGCGATAGAAAGCGAAACTAACTTGTAACTCTGCGGCCATTGACGAGAGGAGAAATGCGATGAAGAACGCGTAGAGTTACGACTTGCATCGTCATCGCTACCATCGTCACTATCATTATTTTCGATATCGTCGTATTGAACTTCGTCATCTTCATTATACTCCAAGAAGTACTCATCATTTGCTTTATCTCCCATTTTTCGGAGAACTTTTTACTGAAAACCCACAAAGCTTTTAGGGTTATATCAAGATTAGAAAGCTCATAGACAAAAGACAGATAAAATACGACAAAAAAAAACACGAGTAGCCAAAGAGAGAAATGAAGCTAACTCGATAAATTTGTTGGCGAAAAAAGACGTCGGTATCTTATTTGTATCACTAGTGTTGTTGTTCTAGAAATGGAGTTTACTAGAATGGTCGAAATTTGTGGGTTCGTGGCTTAATCTTATCAGAAGGTGGAAAGGTTATTTGATTGTACGTCTGTAATTTCAAAAGAGACTCAAAGTGTACGGACGCGATTCTTTCTGTTCACGAGTTTATGGTATTGATAAAGACCGATCATTCATATGACCAATGTTTTAAAAACCGGTTTTTAATTGAACCGGTCGGGTGACGTTTTTCGGTTCAACCGGATGGTCAAACCGGTTTTATATTTTTATATGTTTTTAATTGTCCTGCATACATTGATTACAAAACTTGTCATCTTTTTAGTATTACAAACGTAAATAGAATGCAACATATAAAAACAATCATTATAGAAATCAAAATCAAACGAAGAAGCTCAAAACAAACACAAAAATCCAAGAATGTCCGGTTCAACCCGATCCATTCCGGTTCAATTCAGCCGGTTGAACCGGTTTTTTACTAAAACCGGCCGGTTCAATCCGGTCAGGAAATCATTATAAAACCGGTCCAAATCAAACCGTCCTCACCTCCGGTTCCCGGTTCGATCGGTTCAACCGGCCGGTTCGAACCGGTTTTTAAAACACTGCATATGACTCATTTGAGAGTATATCAATTGAATATACAAAGTCATTAATCGTTTTTTTATTTTAATCATTTTAACATGTTCACGAACATAAACGAACGAACATAAATAATAAAACTCGTTCGTTTATTCGTTTGTGTTCATTCGTTTGTTCGGCTAACTTAAATGAACGAACATGAACAAGCCCTTCGTTCTGTTCGTTTACAGCCCTAATATGGAGTGCTTAACGTGTCAAAGATGGTCACATCATCACCAACATCTGAAAATTGTGTCTTAGATTTGGTGTACTTTAGTAAGTTTGACCCGGGGATGATATTTGATGAGATTTCAGTGGGTGTGGTAAGGGTTATTAGTTTGCAAGGTTTCTCACTCTTCAAGTAGAGTCGTAAATAGCCTGAGAACTCTTTGTCTGGTTTCATTGCATGGTTCTTGTCTGATATATTGCTTTCAAGTAGGAACAAGCGTTCGAATATCTTTCTTATTTCCTGACTGTCCCGGGGTTGAGCTAGTATCAGTCTAGACTTCGGGATGGTTTACATGTTGTAGACTTGTATGTTTCGTGATGTGGATGGCAAGTGTTGGAAGGGATGTTGGCTCGGTTCCCGCAGGTCGGTGGGATGATGGTCGAGTGCCTATAGGTCCACCGAGGTGTTGGTCGTGAGTCTTCAGGCCCATGGAGTAATGATGGCAAGAACAGTGTTGTACCATGAGCTTATCATTCCAATGGTTAGATGGTGTCACGACATATTTTGAACCAGCATGTGTACGACTTGTGTGGGTGGGACCCGACAGTTAAGTGGTTGAGACTCTTAAGTCTTGGTTCGCTAGGCTAATTGGCATAGTTCGGGTATTTTGAGCTTGTGGAAAGGCTATTGGTGGCCCAGTGGCCGATAGGTTCTAGGCATGTGTTTGGTAAAATGTTGACTTGTTAGAAAATCATGGTTGTGCATCAGTAGTTCCTTGTTGGGTTTCTTCTTTTGTGGATACGTTTCTGTTTGCAAGAGTCGTTTATTATGAGCTTGGTTATCAGTGAAGGGGTACTGGTTCTGGAAACTACAAATCATGGGGTTCACAATAGTACCCTTAGTTGATCTATTAAATGGTTACACGCCTGGGTCGGGATGGGAAATTAGTTACGACGCAAGGTTATGATTCGTTCATTGCCATGCTTATGGGGGCGGAGGAATAGTGATGACATGTTCGGAAGTCAGTTGAGCAGAGGAATCCTTTTTTGGGCATGATCATTCAGATTGGTGATATGTCGAGTGATTATGGTCGGTATGTTTCTGGCGCTCGCTTCTGAGTGAGTGGTGATGCTCCTAGTCGAGCGGACTATAGGATATGTATATCAGAACGTAATCATCAATATTTGAGCATGAATTCAAGAGTTTCAGACATAGGGGTTTCCGGTCTTGTGAAGATTATTGTTGGTCTAATTCGTGATAGCAGTGATGGAGTTTTTCGAAATTGTGTAGTTTCATTAAGATTTTGTTTGGATTGCCAGTGGTAAGAGAGGTATTTGTGCCAGGTCGGTGATGGCAGCTTAATATCGGTTTTGAATGGTATCGGGAACACCTGTTATGGATACATCAAATTGGTGAGCAGGTTGGAGAAGTCGCAAAGGATTTGCATTAGGTTTGTCTTCTAAAATTTAGTCAAGGAGGATTTTGAGGACGAAATCTAGTTCAAATGCGGGAGAATTGTAACATCCGAGTCTCGATTATGTTTTTCTATTTTTTGATTGGGGGTTTTATCATCCAAAAAAAAAGTAGAAGAATGGAGCGAAACAAGAAACCATTTATCGCATTTGTTGGAAAACTGAAAAGTCTGTTAAACTACGTTGAGGCCACAAATCGCCACTTTAGAGGGCACCATGGCGCCCAGTCCATGGGCTGAACATTTTTTTAAGGTTGTGGGACTATTTAATGGCCATTAACCCCTGTGTTTTTTATTCTCAGCCTCCATCACCCTAAGATCGAGTCTTGAGAAACCCTAGCCTCCCTTTCATATTTTTGAGCATCTCCCCTCTCCCTTCATCCATTTTGTGGAGTTTTTGTGGCTTTATAGTGAAGTATTCTTGCAAGATTGATCATTGAAGCTTTTCGTAACTGAAGAAATCAACCTTCATTCACCTTTTGGACCTTGGTTTTGTCTTAGATTTCTCTGCTTTATTGTGTTTCACCTTTGGATCTAAGAGTATTTGGAGTTTTAGTGCTTTATTTGATTTTTGGTCCCATGGATGGTTTGATCTATGGAGTTTGGACAACTCCATGATCTTTATGCAATAATCTTTTCTAGATCTAATGTTTAAGTGGAGTAGAAAGTGCATGCAAGGGCTCTCTTTACTCCATGCAAGAATAAAATTGGGATCCTAGACTTTTGGAACCTAGAGTTTTAGATATAATTGGTTTAGGGTATTCTAATGGATAAAATTGGAAACTTTATCCATTAAGATATCAATAAGATCTATATATGAGAGTTGGAAGTCTGGACATAAGAGCTTAAGTCAAAAAATAAGAGTTGAATAACAATAGGTGTGGTGTGTCCTTTTCATGCGTCAGGGTGCTTTGGAAACTTTTGAGACGTGTCTATTTTAGCCTTGGAACTCAACTATTTTGTCCAGTAGTGGGCGTTGGCGCCCAGTAGAGGGTGCGGGGAGTCTTTTGACGAAAATTTTGACATTTAACAAAGTTTTGACATTGGGTCAAACTTCAGGGTTTTGGGGTAAAAACCCGAGGTTTTGCCTCTATTGAGTGTTTAGGTGGTTAGTGAGATCAACCTTACGGGTTTAGTGTGCATATGTGATTTTCAGGTTTCAGCAAGGTGAGTTTTATCATTTTATTACTTATGACATAGTTGTTATGACATGATTGTATGTTGAGCTAGACTAGTAGGGTCGTGTTTGATGCTTGTATGTTTGAATGTTTCATTGGCCGAAACAGACCGTGGGCTGAAACAGACTATAACATCATAAGAATAAGACCATAAAATTTTTGTTTTTAAATTAATAAATCGTTATCATATTATTTCCATAAAACCAAAGTAATCAAGTTTTATCAATACATCATCATTATCAGAGTAAATCACAAAATGCGGAAACATGTGGTGAGTGCTCTGCAATCATCTCGAGCTCTTCCCTTTGAAAACAGAAGTACCTGAAACATAAACTGAAAACCGTAAGCACAAAGCTTAGTGAGTTCCCCAAAATACCACATATCATACATAAATAAACACATAATGGGCCCCACCCAATGAGTATAACGGGCCCCGCCCTAACTCGCATAACGGGCCCCGCCCAATGAGTATAATGTGTCCCGCCCTAACTCGCATAACGGGCCCTGCCTAATGAGTATAACGGCCCCGCCCACATACAATTTATATAAGCATATAGTCATATAAACATACAAACACATGCAAAATCACAAAGATAATAGCATACCGTACAATCATCGGGGCCCACCCACTGAGTATAAGGGGCCCCACCCAAACTCGCATAACAGGCCCCGCCGACATACAAATCATCTAGGTATAACCAGATACTAGCATACAGAATAACCATCGGGCCCCGCCCAGTAAGCATACAAGCACATACACATGCAAGAGTCACACAGACATCTAGCACCTTACATAACAAACCATGGGCCAACAGTGATGCCTTCGACCCGCTAAACACAGTGAGGAAACTCATCTCGCACTGTCGAATCTCACAGGAGGAATCTCTGGCTGTTGGCCCACTATAATTCTCACTCTATCAATCACCAAAATAACACCCAATTTAACATTTGGGTTCCAATCCAAATCCAACAATCCATACTTAGGGTAAAAAGACCATTTTACCCATCACCTAGTTTGGTCCAAGACTAAGGCCTAAACTCACAATCTAAAAGGCCCAAAAACCAATTAATCTTCCAAGGCCCACTTATGGCCCAATTTTGAAAATTGGGCCCAAACCCTTACATGGGCGTTAACCTAAAGCCCACCCATTCTCTTAGTCCAAACACTTGTCTTCAGATCGACTTGAGGTAAGGGTATCATCAAATGAGGGTTAGAGAGGAGGACGTGGAGAAGACTGTGTTTCGGACTCGTTATGGCCATTACGAGTTCGTGGTGATGTCGTTTGGGCTTACCAATACGCATGCGGAATTTACGGATTTGATGAATCGGTTTTTCCGGTCGATGCTCGATCGATCAGTCATTGTGTTCATCGATGATATCTTGGTACATTCTAAGACCATTGAGCGGTATGAGGAGCACCTTCGAGAGCTTGTGGGGGTTTTGAGGCAAGAACGATTGTATGTCAAGTTCTCGAAGTGTGAGTTTTGGTTACGAGAGGTTCAGTTCTTGGGACATCTCGTCAACCAAAGCGGGATTTTGGTTGACCCGGCGAAGATTAAGGTTGTGATGCAGTGGTAGGTTCCGAAGTCTCCCTCAGAGATCAGGAGTTTCTTGGGTTTGGCAGGGTGCTACCGGATATTTATCCAGAACTTCTCCAAGATTGTGGTACCCCTCACTCGTATGACGAGGAAGGACGTGGATTTC